CAGTTCCTCATCAGTTCCAGACCTCTGTGACGTGCTGATCTTTGTTTCTGATTGAGTCTCTGTGGACTTCAGGAAATTGCCAAGGCCTGTTTAAGACATCATCTTTACATTTCACCGTCTAAACATTTAATTGTTCAATCTTGAGATCCAGTGATAACGAGTTTAACCGTTATTTTCAGCCAGATGCAGGCAGCACTAATGGAATCCTATTGACATTCATTAAAAAGGCGACGTTTTTTCTTTTTAATTCACTCTTTTCTTAGCGCGGCCTTCCCTCTCAGCTCCTCTTCTCTTCCACTTCAGTTATTGATTTCCTTCAATTCTGCACGAAGATTATATGAACTTGCTGTGTTCAATCAAAAGGTGGGAGAGTGGAAATATATCTACACCCCATGAGTCAGTTGGTGGATGAACACAGACGGGGGGCATGTCAGTAATCATGCCATGTCTGGTGGCTGCACAGCTCCTGGTACAGACGCTCTAATTTCTGCCTTTTGAACAGAGACTCTCTTCTTGCTGAATGTTGGTGGAATAGTCGAGAAACGGGCCTTTGGTTTTTCTTTGACATCAAAATGTGAATGTTTGATGTTGCAGAAAGCTGGAGGATGGAAATTGGTCAAACTACAAACACACAATTTAACAAAGCCAAGAAATGCACTTTACATCAATTAAAGACACAAAAGTAAGAAATGGGAAATGTACTCAAATTCTGAATTCTGCATTTCTAATCACAATGTCCCTCATTCCTCTCTTCTTCAGAGTGCTCACTCTCCCATGATAATGTTCAGACAGTAATGGCTTACAACAGCAGGGGTGATGTGATACAGAAAGATGGTTGCCTAGTTGAGGCATTTAACATTTGTTATTCACTGTGCAAGATTTTGTTGTCCTAGATATGACAAAAAGTTTTCACCACTGACTTAAAACTGGCAACAGATTCAACGGCAGAATCACGCATAGATCCTTATCCTAATCACATCAAAACCACGGGCCACTGAAGACTTTTACAGATATTTGATGCCAACTTTTTATCCTCACAGAGATAAAGGCACACACGACACGAGAGACGAAGCCTTTCTGCTCCAAGTTCTCAAGACCAATGAGCCTCTTACCGCTTTTAAAGTAACACGAGGGAGTGTTTCAGGCCGTTTATTAATACTTACATGTAGCAGCGAACACAAACACTCAACTGATGTAAATTTAGCCCACGAGCTGGTGTCCTGCCAAACTCAAAGAGTCCAACCTGTTGTCGTATGTGCAGATGATTTCCTCATACACATTTGTTTGGACTTTGAAGGTATTTCTGGAACATTAAAAAATCTTGAAACATCAATACATAAGGAAACATTTCACGCTTGCAGCATTCTGAACAGCAATTACACTGCAATTAACCCTCCATACAGTCCTGCCCTATATTCACACATGCAAACTACATGTGTCTATTTAAAGACTAATTATGTTCAAACACATGTAATTTGCAAAAGATGCTTTTGGAAGAAAACAATGAAGAGTTTTGAATCAACACGATGAAGAAGTGCCATTTATTTATACATCTGGAAAGTATGGAGAGAAATTAAATCTACAAGTTCAAAATAAGATTGACAGATGTGTAAAATGATTTATACATAATTCAGCATCTTCCAGTTAGCACTAAAATACCACGCAACATTAACACACTTTTGACAAACGTCACACTGATTATCTGTTGTATTTGAAATCTTTTCTGTGTATAAATGTCTGAAGCTGAGTAATTTGTGGCTCCTGATGGAAAAAAACTGGTTGTTTGTGCAATTTGGTGCAGCTTGATTGGATTAAAGAGGACAGTTGGGCCTCGCTGGAGATTTGTGCTCTACTCGGTGCCATTCTGTTCTTTCTGTAATGCTTTGAAAATGACTTTTATCTAAAGTGTGTTACTCTCCTGGAACTTCTTTCAACCAGGTATTGACATTCATGGGCTTCAGAACAGTCTATACTTGGTAAATCTATGTGCTCTATATAAAATGAAAAAAAAACTGCTCTGATAAGTAGTTGTTGCAAAATTAAAACGTGACATATCAACATTGGTCCACATTATACTGAGCTTATTTTCTCCACATGAATAAAAAGACACTATTCAGTATCTGATTGATTTTAAACATAGTTTCTAGGAGACAGGATTTCCACATGTCAGACTATTTATCATAAAACCTGCTGTATGGCCTGGAAACATGAAGAATGTGATGCTATGGGTGCACGGTCTCTCACGACTCCATATGGCTGAGCTAAGTGAGAAAATCTGATACGATTTGCTTTTAATATAAACTAATGAGGCCGAAGCTCAAACTCAAAGACCTCAGGCTGACCTGCCTCTGGTAACTCGCCTGATCACCATGTCCTTTCAACCGTGCTGTCACTGCTCTTCCTCCTGTCCTCACACGACATCTCCTCCACTCATCGCAGTAGTTGTACCCTCCAGCTCACTGCTGGTAACTGTCTGTGGTCAGACAGGAGGAAGAGGAGGAGGAGGGGTGAGGATCTCCATGAGCATTGTTGATTTACGGCCCCACCTCCTTATGACTGTGGCTCCACTCCACGGGGGCCACCTTCAAAACCTCCAATCGGATCGCTCCGTGTTGCTTGTTAAACAGATTTTATGGCGCTTGTCACTCCTGGTCTCCAGCGTCCGCCCCGACTGAGCCGTGCTTCACTTAGTGCTGCGAGCAGATTTAGTTTAAAGAAATGTGAACATTTTTTTGAAAATGCAGCCGAGGCTGAATGCCCTCTAATGACGCCGTGTGCTGGGATGCGAAAGGTCGAACCTGGAGGAGTTTCTAGAAGACATGTTCAGCTTGATAGATGAAATCCCTATTAGTGTGTGACTGGCTAAAATAACCTGACATTCAGGGGAGCGCTGACCCATAAGAGATTATTGTGAGACGTCAGTTTGACCACATAATGCCAGATACCACTGCAGGAAAAGAAAACAAGTCTTTGGGTCAGGAAACATGCAGCTTTGTATCTTTGTTCAGATCGTTTCATTATATGCGTCTTTCTATTTGAACTGGACACTGCTTTTCAAAATGAGCTGAAAAGATTAATTATTTTTAAAGAAATATTATTCCACTGGAGAGAGGTACTTTTTTCAAGAGCACTTGAAGCACTTTTTTTTGTTTTAAACCATCACTCCTCTAGGAAATATCCTGAGCTGTCTGACTCGTTGCAGAGAAAATAATATTTATGAACAATAATATGTGGCCAATGGTAAACTGACTTCACAAATTGAAGGACAATTATGATATTTTTCAAAGTAGGCCCACTGTTTATAAATGTGGATGTGATTACATTCTGCAAAAACTTGTACAATATAATCTAATGGGGAAACTGTGACAGTCCATGAAATTCTCCTCAAAAATGCTTTTTGTTTTTTGCCAAGTTGTTATTCTGGGTCTTTGAGTCCAGCATCATTACATGTCTTGCTCAATGAGACGTCTCACTCTCAAGTCTTGTGAGACAATAATTTCTGACGTGGACGATGTCAACGGGGCCTTTGATTTTGATGCCCGTCCCTTCTTGAATAGCAAACAAGGAGAGAGAGAGGCAACAAGCAGAGCAGAGACAATGAGCTCGGCTGAGAATGAGACATGTGTCAGTACCATTCATTTACACACCCACGTTCATATAGGACTTATGTTGACAAATACAATACGTCTACTTAACTTCTCCCCAATGCAAACTGTAAAAACCAGCATTTGCTGTCTCCTATACTTTGTCACCTTGGACTTTCAAACCTTCGTTAAACTTTCACTAAGTCACCACACAGTGCGACAAAGCTAAACTGAAAGTCATGTCGGACCAGCTATTCTGATAGTGGCCACATTTTTATAATTTATCATCTTTTCTTCTTTCATCTCTCGTCTTTGGAGAAATCTGAAAGACTAAAACCTCTGTTCCAGGAACGAATCAGTGTGTGTGTGTGTGTGTGTGTGTGTGTGTGTGTGAAGTGATTAAACACGGTGGGACTTTATCAAACATTTGAAACTCAACTGCGAGTGTTTCCAATTAGAGAAAACCGTGGGAGTTACCGCCAAAGAGGAAAGTCTGTTTCGCATTGTGTAAAGTTCAAAACATTTCGAGGCTTAAAACAACCTTTTGCAGCCTAATGAGTGAAGTTGAAATGTTAAATATATATTTTTAATGAGGTAAAGTCGGTCGGACAGCACTCCACTTAAACTCTTGCATTTAGCCTTTCCCAATAATTACGCAACATGAGGTAGGTTGAGGCAGGCCTCCCACTCATGCTATAGTGATAGCCACATAAACTGGAGCCCTCAGCGTATCCTCCACCACACCTGCATAATGGACTTATGGAGGAGAAAGGCATGATGAAGAGGTGGATGGTTGCAGCACTGATGTGTTTTTGTTGATGAAGATGGAGAAAGGAGGAGAAAACCAAAGCACATCTCATTTTTGGAGCAAATCTGCAGCTGTGAAACACTGCATTGAAATCTCTCTCTCCCTCTCTCTCTCTCTCTCCCTCTCTCTCTCTCTCTCTCTCTGTCCTTTTCTTTCTCCCACATTCGCGCGCGCTCCCCCACGCAGCCGGGCGCGCACACGGGAACCTGCCAGCCCGTGCACTGCACACATGAGCCTGCTGACAGAACCCGCGCCTGCCTGGGATCGCTGCCTGGCGTCCCTGCCGCTCCGCCGGATGCTTGCGCAGAGGACATTCGCCTCCGCCGGTCACCGCATCCATCTCCAGCTTCGTTCCCACGTCTGAACTTTTCCCAACGCGTGACCGTGTCTTCTTTTTTCACCTCATTCGGTGGGAGCCTGTGTCTGAGATCGTGTCTTTCACCGGGTGATGAAACCCCTGTAGAGCCAGACGCTGTTAACTTACCGGGGCTGGATGGCACAGCTCTGCGTGCCAGGTCTGGAAAGTTGCGCTGCGTCAGGGAGCATGGGCGCAAACTTTCAAAGCTTTTTATAATCGACAGTTAGCTTCTTATTTTTTTTAATTATAGTAAAGAAAATGAAGGCAGGTGAGTCACCCGAAGACTGAGAGGCGCCTACAGATCCACGGTTCTCCAGGTGCTGGGGAAAGGGACGGTGACGCGGAGGGAAGTCGTGATCTGTGTGGCGGATTGCGCTACGGAGGACGGAGGGGAACGCACCGATGAGACAACATGGGTGAGTGAGTGGAGCACTGTCTCATTTAGAATCAGGAGGCATCAGGAGGACCAACACTGGTGGACCTGTTAGTTGAGTGCAAAGATTTTCCTCTCCTCACTTCATCCTTATTCCTGCGCACACATCTGCAGCGTCACTTTGGCATCATCACTGTTCTCTGCAAATGTTTCCTCACATTCTTCTGTTATTTGTGGCGGAAGTGGTTTGAATATGCAGCAGCCGGGAGCGTCCCTGCACCTTTCACCCTCAGTTTAATGATGTGATGGAGGCTGCTTATCAGTCGACGGGGACCGTGCGTGTCTGCGCGCAACTGGGCTCGGAGCTAAACGACGCCTCGTTATGTGCCAGATAAACGTCTCTGCTGCTGCAGTGACAAGTTCATCCACACGTTCCCGACCTGAACTCAAATGGCTGAAATCTGGGGGAGGGAGGGAAGGAGGGGGGACGTGTCTGTTTTTACTGCGGCCTCCCCCATCCCACCTCCTCAGGTCCCTCTTCATCCCACCTCCTCCTTGTCTTCCTCCGTCCAAACCTCTGACATGTTTTGACTCCTCGTCCTCTCTCTCCTGCCTCCCCCCCACCCCCACCTCTGTACACCGCACCGCAGCTCCTCTCTTTTTTTTTTTACCTCCCATATTTATTCTCAATAGAATTGTTTTTCCATTTTCAGCGCAACTTCTGCTGAATATCGCAGTGAGGGACTGTTTTTTTCATGCACGTGCACGCGCAGGGTAGGTTTGACAGGAGATTAGCTGCAGACGGATCCATTTGAGTTGAAACTGCACCTCTCTGAGCTTCCTTTGGTTTCTCGTCTCCTCCTCTCACTTGTTGAATTTCTGCTGTTGTTCTGCTCTCTTGTATGTTTTACTTTCTTTTTTGTGTGTGTGGTTTATTCTAAGATGTAGTGAGAAGCTGATGCAGCCTGCAGGGATGCATGCTGCCCACACATCTGTGCACAGTTTGTGGCGTCTTCTCCTAATGAGCAGCTTAGTGCAGCTAATGAGCGCCCACTTTTACAGTTTTAATTATTTCACTACAATTACTACAGCCCAAGCCAAACTAAATGGTTGCATTTGTTAGAGCATCAATATTTCTGGCCAGCACGCTCTCCCGCTGGGTCTGCTCCCTCCATTGCTCTTTTGGTAAAGAAAATCATGTGCAATCCTCCACAAATCAAGAATTAAACCTCGGCATGATTTAATTTTCCAGATCATTCTCGTGGAGGAACAGGGCTGCAGCTAAATAGCAGCTGTTCAGCATCTGCAGTTGCACTCAACAACAATTTATTAATGCTGATCAAATCACTCAGGAAGTCAGTCAAAACAGCAATTCCTCAAATTTTAGAAACTCAACCCAGAGAAAGTTGGACCCTTTTGCTTAATGTATGTGACTGAAATGATTAACACAATTGTCGCCAGCATTTTGTGTTGATTGACCAATTAGAAATTGAGGTGAAATGTCAAAAACATGATATTTTGCAATGTTGAAGAAGGTGATGAAACAGACAGGGGTGTAAACATACACTGCTGAAGGTAAAAACTAATTATCCCAGAAAAACCCCAGAGAAACTTTATTTGCTCGATAAATTAAACAGAGGTGACATTGGTTCACCAATGATCGAATCAACTACTTCATTCAAATCTATCAAATAATGGAAAATGCATTTTTTTCAAGAGTAACAAGTGAAGGAAGCTGCTTTAGATGGAAAATCTTTATGAATTTCATCGACGAACTTAACCTGTGAAATTCATATTCAAGCCTCTTCCATAGCCCCAGAGAACAAAGAAACTAACAAACCTTGAACAGTTCAGTGCTGCAACCGAGGCTGATTTTAAACACTGGAGCTGAAGCCTTCAATAGGGAATACTCTGTCAGGGTGATGCATGTCTCCTTTTTGTCGCACTTGGTAATATTCACTTCACCACTGCCCACACATGCCATCAAACCATCATAACACAGGATATCACATTGAACTCTCTCCCTTTACATCTTTTGTTGGAGTTTTTTTTTTGTGTCCCTTGTTGACTATATTCAAATGCAGCACTTCCTCCGAAGTCCTATGTTCCTTGATATTTCCGAAATAACTGTGAAAGACTTCCCCAAACAATGTGTCCTGCATATTGAACTCACGCAGTGAAGCACGTACAGACACAGAAGTGAGAACATAAGTCTGGCAGTAAGCTCTGGGAGCTCAACTTTCACACACAAACCACACAAAAGACTCTGAATCAAGAGCCACATGATAATGTGTTGTCTGTGTTTGTGTAACTGAAGCACAACGCAGCTTATGTTTGGTTGTCATGGTGTTGCACATTTGAACATTTTGGTATTTTGCAGCTAAAACCGAAAGATCATTCGTCAGAGCTTTTTAAAATGATGTAGTATTGATGTTTGTGTTGTACAGTGAATCTACCGCCTCTTTGGTTAGGTTTAAGCGAATCAGTTTGAAATGAGATGTTGAATTAGATCTAATATTCATAATTATGTTGTTATAAGTGTACAATCACCTCAACTATACATTCTTACATTGTGGTTTTCTTAGAATGAGCTTGTTCATTGGATATGGGTCCTCTTCCAGTGTCCACCATTTTGCACCCCCATGTTTCTACAGTAGCTCAGAAAAGACAAACCAAAGACACAATCTGTGTCCTTGGTTACCTGAAGGCCACTGTAGGTACAAACCTGCAATACGCAACATCCCCACCAGGTGCCACTAAATACTACACACTGAAAATGTACTGCCAACCAAAAGTTCAGGAAACGGCATCTTTAGGAATTATTTATTAACGCTCAAGAGTTCAGCTGCGTGACCCCGAAACATCTGATTGATAATAAACAGACAACCACACAGATTCGACTCAGCCGTCACACTTCTGATTCGAGTTTTGCTGAGTCCTGAGCGGTGCACAGAGACACACACATTTCAAAGCTGTGAGAGACGGTAGGAAAAACACAGAAATCTCTTATGGGAAATAATCAGTCTGTGCTCCGGCAGAAAAATGTGAGTTGATGTTGGAGCTCATTGCTCATAATAACAGGCAGACTGAAGTTAGGTCTTCAGAGCCTCTAACAAATGACTGGTGCTGTCATTTCCCTCTGACGAGGCCCGGCCTCTTTGAGAGAAGCTTCAGAGAGAAGGACAAAGAAATACATAGCAGGACAACGTTTTTTCCTATTTTTCATCCTCTCATTATAAATGCTATCCCAGATCCAGAGGAATATATCTGGGTGTAATTTATGCCAAAGTATGTTTTCTATTCAATTACCATTCAGAATGACTGTGCTTTTATTCTGATAGATTAGTGCTAGAGGTCCTATTTTTGTTGCTGCAGGTGGAAAAATCAATGTGTTGTGAAAGAATGCAGGAAGAAGGTGTTTTCTTTATAACTCATCTATAATGTCTTCCACCGCATCCCCTCAGGGGGCTCCACGGGGGATACAGCCAGTTAGCTAATATAAAATAGCCGATTTCTCAGGGTAAAGTGAGCCAGTCACAGTAAATAAAACAGGAATCATTAAATTCACTCTGGTGCACATTGGGACTGTCTCTAGTCTAAGGGAATATCTTACTTTGCCATGAATCTTTAAAAATTGGCAAATTCCTGTTGGCTGAGTCGCAACCAGATCCCCCACCACCCCAACCGCCCCTCTGTACCTGCAGGCAGTGAATCACATCAGCAGAGGACGGAAGACAGGACGAGGGACTTGCTCATGTCTGTCGTTCGTCATTCTCTATAAACGTCAACAGTATTTCAATGTCAGGAGCATTACTGACATTTTAGATTTGTTTGCAGCCCATGTTATTGAGATGATGCAGCTCTGGAAGTGTTTAGCTGTTGAGATGTTCTCTGAAAACGCCGGCTAAATCTGCAATTTAGTTAACGAGGACATCACTCCTTCCTTGTCACTTTAAAACAGCAGTTGCGCTGTGCTGCATTCGCAAGTACTGCAAAGAAGTGGGCCCTGTAGTGTAGCATCAGCCAGATTTAGCTAAAATGTCTCTGCAATTTGGGAATATTTCACGCAGGAAAGTCCCACAACTAAGACGGCAACGTGCGCCGCATACAAGACGAGTTCTGTTTCACTTCTAAAAGTTCTGTGGTGTCAATTCTCTGTATGTAGTCGTGGGTCAAAGGGTTTAACCTGAATTGGTATACATGTATATGTATAATATATACATATAAATGCCGCAAATCATGTTTTGAAAATTGAATTTGATGTTCTAAAACTTTGTGTCTCAACATATGAGATCTGATATGTTCTTTTTGGTTTGCCTTTGGGATGCCCTGTTATCCCTGCTCACAATCCAGTAGACAAACGTATTAGTGGGGCTCAGAGTGCATATCCCCAAACTCCCCATTGCTGACTACTTTCACCCACTGGCTTCTCCATATCCTTGTGGAAAGCCCTGCTCAGCACTCATATCGATCAACGCAGCTCCCTGCCTCAATGCACACACACCAATAACCTGTGTGTGTGGGTCAATAGGAAAGCCAGTGTCAGTACAGTTCTTGATATGTGGGATATTATGGGCCCGTGAGCCGGGTCCAGATGTTAAGCGCTGTGGCTGTAAAGGCTGCCTCATGCATTCACTGCTGTGAAATGTCATCTGCTTTACTGGTTATTTTGCGAGTTTGTTTTCTGTATCTTTACTGTGGACCGTACATAAAGACAGACGATGTGTCTCGTGCTGTTGAAGTCATTTTGGAGCCCGAGTTTTCTCATGTGTGGAGCCACAGTCTCAAAGTCCCGCCGATGCATGCCCTCGACCAATCAGGACTCAGTCTCAGGTGTCAATCGTGATGTTTCACCTCTGTTTTTATTTCACCAAATCACTGATTTACTGCAAAATTAACATTAATGTGAAAACAACTATCTAAACAGAAATGTCCCATCTACTAACATTGTCCATGTCCCATCTGCTTACATGGAGGAGGTGGGGTTTGTGATATATATATATATATATAATGTACTAAAGCCGGCTACAAGGGGTGATCAAG